CACTGCAAGTATATTGTAATTCCATGTTTGTGTCTTTCTGTGGTTTTGTTTTGTAACATTTTTTAAGTACTATGGGGGATTCATACAGAGCTGCTCTTCATACACATTCCTTTCACATAATACAACACACAGTTCATCTGGGGAATCTCAGTCATTCCCTATAATGGCAGCACATAACTATTTGTTCTGCACATCACTTCTGCTGAGTGTTGCTGCACTTTTCTCAGTGGCATTGTGTAACACTTTACCACTCATATGGGTTATGTGTGAGCAAAATAAATATGCAGTCTTTTTTTTTTTTTTTTTAATTTCCTTTGTAATGGAAGTACATTACTGTTAAAAGGTCATGTTTAGGCTCGGTTCACATTGCCGCGACTTGGGAACCGACTTGTGAGACCCCCCAAGTCGCATCGCATGTGAAATCCCATGTTAGTCAATGAGAGCTGTCTTAATTAGCACTACTGAAGTTGCTCCAACTTTAGAAAAGGTTCCTGTACTACTTCAAGGTGACTTCTATCTGACCTGTGCCCATAGACTTTAATGGAAGTCTCTTCCAAGTGGGATCCTCATCTATATTGATGTGATTTGGATCTGACATTACAGGAAGAGTACCCAGGCATTCCCTGAAAGTTGCTTCAAAGTTGTTTCAAAGTAGTACAGAGTTGCTTCAAAGTAATACTCAAGTCACCTGGCAAAGTCACTTAAGGCTAAGTTGAGAGTCGGTAAGTATGTTCTTTTAAGCCACATTTTTATCTGTATAGGTAGAATTGTGCAAAATATCATTGATGAAGGCACAATCTGTCATGCTTATCATTCCTTTACTGTTTAGAAGGTTTGGAAGGTTACTAGCCCATTACAAGCTTGCATATCAAATGTCTCTTTACCCTGACTGCTTGCTTGCTGATATAAATAACACTGGGATAAGACTGACAGTCTTCATTTCTGTTCTGCCTTTTTGTAAGTTGATTTTAATTTTTTTTTATTTGTGTTTCATCATTTAATAATTTATAATTCTAACAATGATGTATATCTATGCTTTGGATTGAAGTTTTAATACTGACCTGATTCTTAGGCCCTATTCACATTTGTCTGTTTTTATGCAGCAAAACTCTTGCATTTTGTCTTATGAAAATGCATTTTAAGTAGATATCCCATTCTGTTGTATGTGGTTGTTACATCTATGCACTGCAGTTTAGCCTGTGTTTGTTACTATGTGTACTGCTGGAATCTGTTTGGCTGAATTAGGGAATTTGCAATGGATTGCTTTTCAGGGATCATTTCTCTTCCTCACCTCCTTTTTTTAACCCCCAAGAGCCTGCACCACCATGCCGCAACCATGTACATAGCTCTATTCGAAGGACTATTTAAAGGGTTATCGTTTTTTTAGCTGAGCAATGCGTTGCAAAGTGGCAAGAATACAACCCTATCCTGCTGTCTTTGCAGCTTTGGGGGGGGGGGGGGGGGGGGGCAGATTGTGTTCATGGGGTGAGCCTCCACCACCACCAAATGCACAAGTAAAGCCCAGTGGCTGGAAGAAAGAAAATAAAAAATGTACAGTGGATATAAAAAGTCTACACACCTCTGTTGAAATGTCAGGTTTCTGTGATGTAAAAAATTAGATAAAGATAAATCGTTTCAGAACTTTTTCCACCTTTTTAATGTAACCTATAAACTGTACAACTCAGTTGCACAACAAACTGAAATCTTTTAGGTGGAGGGAAGTAAAAATAAAAAACTAAAATAATATGGTTGCATAAGTGTACACACCCTTACCTAATACTTTGTTGAAGCACTTTTTGACTTTATTCCAGCACAGTCTTTGTGGGTATGAGTCTATCAGCATGGCACATCTTGACTTGACACTCTTCCTTGCAAAAAACACTCCAAATCTATCAGATTGCGAGGATATCTCCTGTGCACAGCCCTCTTCAGATCATCCCACAGATTTTCGGTTGGATTCAGGTCTGGGCTCTGGCTCGGCCATTCCAAAACTTTAATCTTCTTCTGGTGAAGCCATTTCTTTGTTGATTTAGATGTATGCTTTGGGTTGTTGTCGTGCTGAAAGATATTCAGTTTTCTAGCAGAGGTTTTGTGCCAATATTGACTGGTATTTGGAACTGTTCATAATTCCCTCTACCTTGACTAAGGCCCCAGTTCCAGCTGAAGAAAAACAGCCCCAAAGCATGATGCTGCCACCACCATGCTTCACTGTGGGTATGGTGTTCTTTTGGTGATGTGCAGTGTTGTTTTTGCGCCAAACATATCTTTTGGAATTATGGCCAAAAAGTTGTATCTTGGTTTCATCAGACCATAACACATTTTCCCCACATGCTTTTGGGAGACTTTAGATGTGTTTTTGTCAAATTTAGCCAGGCTTGGATGCTTTTCTTAATAAGAAAAGGCTATTGTCTTGCCACTCTACCCCATAGCCCAGACATATGAAGAATATGGAAGATTGTTGTCACATGTACCACACAGCCAGTAATTGCCAGATATTCCTGCAGCTCCTTTAATGTTGCTGTAGGCCTCTTCGCGGCCTCCCAGACCAGTTTTATTCTCGTCTTTTCATTAATTTTGGAGGGATGTCCAGTTCTTGGTAATGACACTGTTGTGCCATTTTTTTCTCTACTTGATGATGACTGTCTTCCCTGTGTTCCATGGTATACCTAATGCCTTGGAAATTCTTTTGTACCCTTCTCCTAATACCTTTTAACGATGAGATCCCTCTAATGCTTTGGAAGCTCTCTGCGGACCATGGCTGTTGCTGTAGGATGCGACTAAGAAAATGTCAGGAAAGGCCTATTAGAACAGCTGATCTTGATGTGGGGTTAATCAAAGGCACTATAAATGATGGCAGGTGTGTACTGACTCCTATTTAACATGAGTTGTGATTGCTTAATTCTGAACACAGCTACATCCCCCGTTATAAGAGGATGTGCACACGTTACCACATTATTTTAGTTTTTTATGCCCCTCCCTTTTAAAATATTTCAGTTTGTTTTTCAATTGAGTTGTACAGTTTATAGATCACATTAAGTCCTCATGCACACTGGATGTTTTTACAGCTGCTGCTGTTGGCTTTTGTTTTTTTTTCTACAGCCGGTAAACTCCCCAGCATGTTATCCTATGTGTCCATTCACACACAGACTGTAATCAGCGTTTTTAATGTGACTTTACACACTAAGGTTACCAGCGTTATTAAAACACCCAGTGTGCATGGAGCCTAAGTTCAGAAATTATTTCCTTGTCTCATTTTTTTTTTTTTTTTTTTTTTTTACATCACAGAAACCTGACATTTTGACAGGAATATGTAGACTTTTTATGTCCACTGTACATGCCTAGCCTAAGCCAGCAGTATTCTTCACCTCATTTACATCATCCTCGTCTACTGTGTTGCTCTTAAAGTGTTACTAAACCCAGGACCCTGCATTCACTATATCTGGCTTCCCACAGTACACAGAACATGAATGTGCAATTATTTTAGTAAATATACACTGCTAAATACCTTTTCTCATTAGTAGTTAGAGAAGTCATGTGACTTATATTAGTGTCCAGTCCGGCATATGTAAAGCATGTAGGAGGAGTTTTCATTTTGCTGTAGGAAGGTGCAGGACCCCTGACCTCTGGCTGGACAGTGCTGATTGGCCCTGTATTGATCACATGCACTCTCCCAAGAAAAAAAAAATCAATAAAAAACCCTCTCTAGCAATACACATCAAACGGAGCATGTGCAAAATGACTCCACACGATATGTTTTATCAGAAGATAAGAGGGAGCACTGGAAGAAGGGGAGGATCAGAAAAGACAGGATCAAACAGCATTTTTATACAATACAGAGGATTAACCCATTAGATTGCACAGTGAGTATAACAAGCATACTTTACTGCATATACAGACAGATTTTATTTTTGTGGGTTTAGTAACACTTTAAGTTAGGCTAGTGAAAAAATATATATTTGAAACTAATAAATATTGGAAAAGTGTCAAAACCTAGTTAAGGTGTATTATACCACGAACAATAAAGTTCTCGTATTTGTTCCTTTTTCTCTATACTGTTCAAAGAGTTTTATTCGAATAGAAAAAATAACTGTTCATTCAGCCAGAAATCTTTAGCCGATAACTTCCTAAACTCCTTCCCTCTGGACCGTTATCAGTTAGCATTGTTTCCTGCTATCTCCGTGCATTACAAAACTAATCCTCCTTTTATAAAAAAGGGATGGAGGTGTTGTGTAGTCTTAACACACTTCCTGTCCTAGGGTGACCTTTGGGTGTCACCCTAGGACAGGAAGTGAATTAATGACAGGATTACCAGGTAAAAAAAAAAAAAAAGGAAAAAAAGTTAGTTTTCTGCCTAAAAATGGGTTAAAAAGGATCTTTTTTTTTTTTTTTTTTGTAAGACTATTTTTCTGCTTCACTAAATTTTATAAACTTAAAGCTTTTAAGGATTTTTAAAAAGAGTTTTACAACTGTTGGATTAATTCACTTTTAAGTAGTTACTTACATTTTAAAAGGTTTATTTGTTTTTGCCAGGCTGGGATAGCTGTGCAAGTCATAAAAAAAGATGAGCAGCATATTTTCTAAATCACAAATATATCAGAAGACTGCTATTCACATTTTATTAAGCCTTGGTGTTTCAGTGTAATAGTTCACTGTTTGTAGAACACTAGCATTTTGAGTTTTTTCCATACAATCTCATGCCAGTGTTGACCCTAATGGATTAAAATAGCCTTTTTTCATCCATGACCAAATTTGGAGCTGAAATATCTGCCCACTGGGAATCGGTGAATGTATTCTAGTTTATGGAGTGACAGTTTTATACAAATAATTATTGTTATTCCCAGTGCCTGGTTTAAATTAAAATCTAGTATTCCAGTATAAAATAAGCAAGCTGCTGCCAATTTTGCATCTGCCTTTCCCAGTGTTTTAACGTCTTTCTGGTAACTGAAAAGTAAAAATAGCAATTGCAGTAATTGACTTTTTGTCTTTGTTTTCAAATCTAGATAAAGATACGATAAGTAAAATCCGAGACTTGCGTATGAAAGCAGAAGACTATGAAGTAGTAAAGGTCATTGGCAGAGGAGCTTTTGGTGAAGTTCAGTTGGTATGTATGTCATCTTACTTGGGTATGATCACCAGTCAGGCAGGTGTTTAAAAGTGATTTGTAAATATTTTTTTTTTTTTTTTACAAAAAATTCAAGATATACTCATCTGCTCTGTGCAGTTAGCAACCCCCAACTGCCTCTTCTGGAGTCCACCACTTGCTTTCTTGGCTGCTCGCCCCTTATGAGTACCCCATAGCAAGCTGCTTGCTAGGGGTGCACTTGTGCAGGCATGATCCTGAGCCGCAGTGTGTGTATCTATTGAGACACACACACTGGCTCAGTCCAGCCCCCTGATCCCCTGTTACTGGATTTAATTGACAGCAGCAGTAGCCAATGGCTCCTGCTGCTTCCACGGAGTCCAGCGAGGAGGGAGAGAGAACAGCACCACAGGGGATTGGGCCCAGTTAAGTATTTAGGGTGGAGCAGCATCCTAAAGGTTTTATTACCTTAATGCACAGAATGCATTAAGGTAAAATAACCTTTAGCCTTTACAATGACTTTAACTTCTTCCCTACCGCACCATAGCCGAAAGACAGCTACAGCGTGGTTGTCTAGCTCTGGGACAACGTCCATGGACGTCATTCCAGAACACGCCCCCTGCGTGCCACCAGTGATAATTATCTCCTACGGACACAGCTGGTCACATGATACGGTCAGCGGCCTTTTACCATGTGATTAGCTATGTCCAATGACACAGCAGATCACCGGGTAAATACAGTGGTCAGTTATCAGCTGCACTTTTCTCACGCTGACACAGCATGAGGAAAGTACTGCCGATAACCGCAATTGTCAGAGAAGTGATCGGCACTGATCATCAGGGCCCTGATGATCAGTGCCGCCCAGCTGCGCCTCCCCATCAGTGCCACCTCATCATGCTGCCTATCCATGCAGCCTCATCAAGCACATTAGCGAAGGAGAAAAATTACCTGTTTTCAAAATTTAATATAATAGAAACAAAAACTTCTTTTTTTTTTTTTTTTTCAAATGTTTTGCTCTTTTTTTTTTTTAGTTTATAGTGCAAAAAATAAAAACACCCAGTGGGGATTAAATACCACGAAAATAAATCTGTGTGAAAAAAATTATAAAAATTTCATGAGTACAGTGTTGCATGCAATTGTCATTCAAAGTGTGACGGCGCTGAAAGTTGAAAATTGGCCTGGGCGGGAAGTGGGTATAAGTGCCCAGTAGACAAGTGGTTAAATGGGAAACCTATCAACTGATTTGGAGTGGCCAAATAACTGAAGATAAGCAATATTCTCTCCATTGCCATAATCTACTGATTTAAAAGCCTGCATTCTACATTTCATAATTTTGAACAGCCTGCACATACATTTGTGTCAAGATTTCATCTTTGTTAATGGAGATATCTTCTGATACATGTAATAGAGGGATGATATATTGCTGTTTTTTATACCAGAGAAAATACTAATTTAAGTGTGACAAAATTACTGAACTATCTATTTTAGTATATTATACTTTGGTATTCCTAAAATGCTGTATTTTTTTTCATTGTGTGGACAGTTGTAGCCTTCCATTAAACTGATACAGACTTTTTTGGAGTACTAAAGTGTTTTACTGTGTTTGTCATTAATGCACAAAGTTTGGTGTTTGTTACTTTTTATTGCCTAACCTAAGGTAACACTAAACAATATACTTATTCTCCAAAAATAATCCATGCACATCCACCTTGTAATAGCCCTGTAATATATTTACTGTGTTTTTCTGCCTCCTTTCAATGTTCTCTGTGAGCACCCAGACCTTTTCTTTCTCACTTCCACTTGTTTGGAGTGGGTAGTGCACATTAGCTATGGTCAGGTGCACTGCTGTATGCAAACTACAAACTCCATAGCTCCTAGTTCATTTTAGGATTGAGCAAGAGGGGGGTGGTTAGGTTCCTACTCACAGTGAGACCATGGAGAATGAAATAAGCCACCCTGTTCCCCTTCCCAGCTCCCACCCCTAAATACTTACCTGAGCTCAATCTCGATCCAGCAATGTGCACAGGAGCCAGCAGCTCTTGTCTTTCTCTTCTCATTGGACAGATAGGTAGCAGCTGGAGCCATTGGCTTCTGTTGCTGTCAATCACAGCCAGTGAGGAGAGAGTGGGGCGTGGCTAGCCACGCTGTGTGTCAGTGGAGTGCGCATGCACGCGTGCCCCCATAGCAAGTGGCTTTTAGGGGCCAGGAGCACCAGCGGGGACCCCAGAATAGTAAAATTGGGCTGCTCTGTGCAAAACCATTGCACAGAGCAGGTAAATGACATGTTTATTTTTTAAAAAATGCAAATGTTGACTTTAGAATCACTTTAAGATGTATATTGACAGTATTTAGACTCTTAAGTGGAATTCTGGGGGAAAAAGTTCTTTTTATTGCTCCAGCTATGTTACCTCTAAATGTTGGATGTACAATGTCCAAATGGCTGGGGATTCTAAAAATCCTAGTTGTGCTCATGGCAGATATCTTCTGGCTCTGCTGCTGTAAGTTCTGGCTAGTGTACAGTGAGGAATAGTGTTGTTTACTCTCTGGCCCGACACCCCCCCCCCCCCCCCCCCCATTTAAGCTGTAACGGTGTTCCATGATTGGACAAGGGTTGGTCCTGTCATTCATTCTTTCCTCCTCTCCCCTTGTCTTGTCCAATTATAGGACGCCTTATAGTTTGTGAAAATAATGCAACTAATTTTATTGCTGAATGAGGGGGTGGAAGCTAGAGAGTAAACGACACTACCATTCACTGTACAAGCGCTGAAATTCATAGCAGCATAGCTAGAAGATGAATCACTCGAAGGTACAAGCCTATAACATAGGGTCTATGAATACTTTGCCTATGTCCTGTACTGTACTCCAAGATATGGAATTTGCAAGTCAAAATTCCTCTTCACATCCCCAGCAGCCCTCTGGGTGAAGTGTATCCAGCATTAGCTGTAAGTTAGCTGAACCAATTGAAATATGGTTTATTGGCCATATTTCAGTTAAAAACCCTCCTTATCAACCTTACCTTGCTTACTTGCTTCATAAACTCAAACGGTTTTCATTTTGGATGGAAAGGTTAAAGTCTCAGTCCTTTTATCTATTTTTATTTCTATGTGTCTCTCATTGGGGAGAGAGGTCTTTATTTTTCTGTCATGTAGAGACAGCTGGAAGTGAGAAGAAACCTTTTCAAAGATAGGAAAGTCTTCTGTTTGGTGGATTTTTGTACGAATGTTCATACAAAAATCTTGCCAGTACATTTGACAATGCATACAGATAATAATGCATTTTTTTTGAATAGTAAAGAATTTTGTTTGCTTTTTGAATGAATGGATGGATATAATTTCCTGAGTGAAAACATACATTGTTAGATATTCATTTGTTAAAAATTTAGCGGCCCGCTCCTTCGAATTTTCTCAGCACTGTAGTCTAAAATGACAGTCAATTTGGCTCCACTAGTGATTAAAAATGGAACAAACAAAAGTTTTTTCTGTTTCAATATTTTTTATTAAGAAAGTTTTGTTTAGGAATACAACAAGCTCAAGATATGCCCAGGCAGGGGCAGAGCAGAACAATAACACGTAAACAGATACATCCTGCTGACTTGCTGACTAGCCAATGAACAAAATGTCCAATGACATCAAGGAGGGACGGCAAAAAGCCGAACCAAATAATAGCAGCAGTAATCCAACATATTACCAGAAAAAGAAGAGGAAAGAAAAAAGGTTAGAAGAAAGGAAAAGGAAAAAAAAAAAAAAAAAAAAAAAAAAAAAAAAAGGGAATCCAAAAGAAAATATAAAGGAAAGGGAAACTAGAAGAATCACGGATCCAGGGATAGCACAGGCAGCGACTATAAGATTCCATAACTAATAGGAGGCAGGGATGGCAAGGAATAACGTATCCAAGGTTCCCAAACCTTAAGGAATCTCGGATGAGAATCATGAAAAATGCTAGATATCTGTTCATTGATCAACATGGCATTCATCCGGGTCTTCACCCCCTGGAAGACAACTGAAGGGGTTCTCCAAGCTTGAGCTATAGCACGTTTGGCCGAAATAACTAGGTAGGATGCCAATTTCTGCTGAGACCTAGACAGACCCAAAATTGGGCAGTGCAGGAGGGGCTACCCTTGCATCCCTATGGACCGTAATATGAAATAGCGTTTGTAACAAACCAAAAACCAGAGGCCTATCAATCGCGGGCACGACCACCAAATTTGCAAGACATCCCCACGTAGACCACAGTTCAAACAAAAGTTTTTGAACAAAATTCTACTAGAGTTGAATTTGAGACACAGATGGCAATACAATCCTGACAGCGGTTCTAAGTATGTCTCACTTTTATCTAAAGCTTTAAAACTCAAAAAGTTTTGGCTTTATATATCCTTAATGGAAATATGCAGCATTTTTATAAGAACTTTCCATGTAGCCCTAGTGCAGTTTTAAATACAGTATGAGCTACCAATCTTTCCAGTGTCCTTTAACATTTAGACATATAGACCTGACCTTGTGGGCAACTCCTCCCACTCTCATTGTGTTTTGGGCTGTGCTGTCAGTATGATGTACTTAAGGAGGGCACAGTCACTAAATTGTTTAGTGTGTCCGATATTAAGCCGGCCACAGATGGTTTGAATCTTGGCTGGTTTAGCAGGGACCTGCTGAGATTTCTATGGGCATGCTGATTGTACCGAGTTCAATTTGTTGTACGACTTGGGCACAACCAGCCTGTCAAATCTTTCATGCGATTATTGCCAGTGGTTATAGGCGCTATCAATAAGCACTGCGTTCTCTTGGCAGGGACAGCTCCCCCTCTCTGGAAGCACACAATAGCTCCGTGGGAGCAGAAAGAAAATTGCATTGTCTATGGTCAGCTTTAGGATGCAGATTATTTTTTTCCAATATAGTGAAGTTATTTATTCTGGTTTTTGTTAGTGATTTTCCTTGGAGCTTACATGTATGGGGAAAAAAAGGTCTTAGACTTGCTTATTCTGTAAGAGAAACTGAATTTTGTACCTCAGGGTGAAGCAGTCAGAGGGATTCCCTGGGCTTTGGTTTGAGTCATCCAGGGAATAACCAGAGGGTAAATAAGGATTTAGAGGACTGCTGTGAAATCGTTTTCCTAGAAGTCTCTTTCTATGAATTGAGTATTTTGCAAGTTGCTCAGTTTTAACTTCTTTTATTCTTTGTGTGATCTTCTGTTTTTATTCAACAAGGTAAGGCATAAATCTTCAAGAAAAGTGTATGCAATGAAGCTTCTAAGCAAGCTGGAAATGATAAAGCGATCAGACTCTGCATTCTTCTGGGAAGAGCGAGACATTATGGCATTCGCCAACAGCCCATGGGTTGTGCAGGTAAGTTGGAGTCGTAAGCTGTTGTGGCCAAGCAGAATAATGGCTTTTTTTTTTTTTTTTTTTTTTTTTAAGTCAAGCCGTTTGCCTTACTGTATTTTGCAGATAGTACTGAACATTACTTTAAAAGATCAACTCCAGGCTAAAGATTAAATAAATCTTACGATTTATGCATACTGTCCCGAAAACATTTGATTTCTGCAAAAAACGCTCTGTATGCTTGCAGCAGGATCCTCTATAGGGAGAAAGCACTTACCCAAATGCTGGAAGACATTTATAGTGGAGTGAGGATTGGGGGGCAGAGTGTCTGGAAATGGCATTGTTTTGCTAAGTTAGAATGGCCCTGCATTCAGCAGTGGAGAACACTAAAAGCTGATGAATTTGAGCTCCTCTTGGTGCCTGAGTGTCTGTTGTCTAAAACAAAAATAAAATTGGCACAAGGGACATTACTTCTTATCAATAACATGTGTCCCTTGTGCTGCTGTCTTTAGTAAAAATCATAATTTTCCAATTGCTCCCCTCCATCCCCACTGTTGGAATGATTGGATGAATGGTGGATGATGGAAAGCCCCCCCCCCCCCACCTCAATTCATAGATCATGTTTCATTCATAGAAGCTGTAGTATGGCTTCTATGAATAGAGGAACTGGGCAGAAAGGGCAGGGAATAGTTGGGCACTCTCGATGAGTGTCTGTTAGTGCTCCATTAACCCCAGCTGCACTGATAGATATGCCAGTGGGGGTAGAACCAGAGAAGGAGAATTCCTACTAAAGAGGGAGATAGCAGCACAAAGGACACATGTCATCGATTACAATGTCCCATCTTGCTGAATTTTTTTTTAATTTTTTTTAAATAAGCTTAGGTTTGAAGTTTATACCTGTCGGTGGCTTTGTTTTTTGTTTTATTTTTTTTGTAATAGATGGTTTCAAGTGATAGTCACTTAAATCTGCAAGCTAAAAAGAAAGCATTTAAAAGTGGACCTAAACTGAAGTTTACAAAACATTGCTGGCAGGCAGGTTTTTACTGGAAGTGTAGACACAATATGTTTCTCCTACAAATGAAGAAATCTTGCCTGCCAGCAATCTTTTTTGTAAATATCCATTGAGCCACCCATGCGCAGGTCATTGTGTTATCCCAGCATCTGCAGGATGAATCAACTCTCGTGTACATGCGTATCACCTGTGCTTTGGCAGGTACGTCTCTATAATGTGCAAATAAAAACCTTGGGCACCGGCAGACAAGTCGGTGACTTAATGTTCTCAAGTGAGAGAGTCAGCACAACAGATTCCAGCATTTTTCTGGAGAGTGCAGGCTCCATGTTCACTTTCAAGATTGCGGCAGGACATTGACATTTGAATGGTGCATACATCTACAGTCTCCCTCTGAAATATATGGGGCAGCTTAGTTTCCTTTGGTTGCTTTACCAGAAGTTACTGTCAAGCAAAATTTCTGCAACCTGTACACCTTATATGAACCCTTAACTTCAGCAGCCTTCAGCGCTAATATTCATTAAATATTGTGGCTTGATGGGACTGTGTTAACTTTTGCGGCATATGCGTGGATTTGCCTTTATCTTTCCCAGGTATTTTTAGGCCTGGTCTGAACTAGACTTTGTTTCACAAATATCTAATGTTGGGTTGTGGTGCCAGGTACGTTTTGAAACCTCAAAAAGGCTATAGATTGATGTTTAATGAAATGGTATAACATCGTTTTGCAAACCTTTAATCCCATAACCTGGCTGAAGTGATTTCTACATGTGTATCAGGGTTCACAAATACATATGGATATACTAGTGTAAATATTTTTTTTTTTTGATAGTGGTTACAGTTTTCCATTTCTTTGTTTTCTGTAGCTTATCTACTTTTAAAGACACTATCTTACTATCAGGACATGCTTTTCAATAATTGCCTTCTAATTGAGACAAGATTTTTCCTTTTTCTTTTTCCCCCCTATATGCAGCTGTTCTATGCCTTTCAAGATGATCGTTATCTGTATATGGTGATGGAGTACATGCCTGGGGGAGATCTTGTAAATTTAATGAGCAACTATGATGTTCCAGAGAAATGGGCACGGTTCTACACAGCTGAAGTGGTTTTATCATTAGATGCCATTCACTCAATGGGTTTCATTCACAGGTAGGCAATAAAGTTAACTACTAATATCTTTAATTTTCATGCTGTGTATTTTTTTTAAACCACACAGATCTGAACTCGTTTTGATGGTGACAAAGGGCTAGCAAAAATCATTTTTAGATTGTAAGCTTTAACAGGTAGGGCTTGGATTCCTCTTGTGTTGAATTGAATGGTAACTGCACGGTCTCCTTCCATTATGTGAAGTGCTGTGAAAACTGTTGGCACTCTATAAATCCTTTATAATAATAATAAATGAGGAACTGCATTGGTGTTCCCAGAGCAGTAAGTGATTATAGCAGTAAACCTGACAGGGGTTCTAATTTTTCCTGATTGTCGCCAAAATAAAAATACATGGGTATAGAAGCATGTAAATAAACTCTTATGCTTCTTGTACACGGTCAGCTGCTAAACTTGAGTTTAGGAGCTTTTTGCATTTTTTGCCAAAGCCCCTAAACTCAACTCCATAAATGCCTATGTGTCCTTGTACACATAGACTTTTAGCAGAGTTTAAGAGCTGCCGCATTTAGGTGAGGTTAAACCTCCCTCTACTGAATGCGAAAGAATTGCATTCAGGATAGGAGCATTTTAACTGCCAACAGCGGGAAAACGTGGCAACCGTGGTACCTCGTTATTCCGTGATTTCCCAGTGGCCGGTGGTCAGAGTAGGCTGGTGTACATGAAGCCTTAAAGTAAAACAATTGTGTCTAGTTAATACAAAAAAAAAAAAGTGCAGCACTTCAACATAAGTACATCCACGTTTCCAGTTTTCTCTTGCCCCAGTTCAAAGTCCTACAAAAATATATTGAGCATGCCAGTGAAGTCCAGCTAATGTAGCTTCCTGTAATAAGGTTGCAACACTGCTTTTAGGGGTGGACCGCATGAGACAAAAATGTAAGAGGATTTGACTTATTCACTTTCCGTCCTGCCCATGTATATAACTGGCCAGACAGGAGCAGTGCAGGGGCGGGTGGCCATTTATAAACTGCCTCCCCGCCCCCTGCTTGTGCGTGCTCCCTGGGAGCACTCAGCACCACGATCCGGTGCCCGCTGTGTCCTCTGGACACAGTGGAACACTGATCGTTGTACGGGACCTCTGTGTGAGGTCCCGTTCATGTGATCACTGATTGGCCAATCAGTGATCACATGCAGAGTAGTAAGCAAGATGTCACTTCTGACATCATTGCTTACTACTTGTGAAATCTGTGAATGACAACAGCCTTGTACCATGTGACAAGCTGTGACCAATCACAGCTCACACAGTATTTCTCAATGGCTGCAAGAATGCAGCCAGAGAGAAGGAGAAATGATTGCTTTTACAGCCTTTATGGGTGTAAAAGCAATCAGTGCTAAAAAAAAATAATAATCTTCATGACCCCCCACAAGTAGTACAGTGTCACTATGGTGACACTGTACTGCTAGGGTGACCGTATGTAAAAAGTAAAATAAATAAAAAAATTATAATTTTTGGTTATAAACTAATTTTGGTTAACTGAATAAATGTTGGCCAAGATTTATGAAGAAAGATTATTTATTTGCAAAATTTTATAAGGAAAACAGTTTTTTTTTTTTTTTCAACATTTTTGGACTTTTTCATTTATATAGCAAAAAAATTAAAAATCCCAGTGGTGAATAAATACCACCAAAATAAAGTTTGTGTCTCAAAAAAAATGCTAAAAAACTCATATGGGTACAGTGTTGCATGACCGCGCGCAATTGTCATTCAAAGTGTGATAGCACTGAAAGCTGAAAATTGACCTGGACAGGAAAAGGGTAAAAGTGTCTGGACTTGAAGTGGTTAAGCTGGCCATAGATGGATCGAAATTCTGGCTGTTGAGCAAGAACTGGACGAATTTTGATCCTGCTGCTTGTATTAAACTTGACCTATCATTCGAGTTCAGCGCTACCAGTGTGTCAGGTTTATTTTGCACAATTACGGGGAAGAAACCTGTGTATAAACATCACAAATCTCTCCCATCAGCTCCTGCACACTGCTTTGTACAAAGTAGTGTGCTTACAGTGAAGCACACACACAGCCAACATAGTGAAACAGCACACAGTTAACCCTTTCATCGCCCTAGATGTTAACCCCTTCCTGCCCAGTGCCATTAGTATAGTGTCAGTGCTTTTTATTAGCACTGATCACTGTATTGGTGTTACTGGGGATGTCGGTGATACCAAGTCAGTTCCCCCCAGTATCAGAATGCCTGCCGCAGTCCCGCTATAAGTCGCTGATCGCCGCCATTACTAGTACAAAAAATTTTTTTTATATCTATACTGCCATTTGTAAATGCTGTAACTTTCACGTAAACCAATTAATCTAAATGTATTGGGATCTTTTTTATAGCAAAGACATGTAGCAGAATACATTTTGGCCTAAATTTATGACGATTTGGACATGTTTAATAGTAAAAAGTCAAAAATATTGAAATATTCAGTTTTTTTTTTTTTCTTTCCTATAGCTCAAAAAATAAAAAAACGTACAAGCGATCAAATACCACTGAAAGGACATAAATTTAATTTGGGTGCAGCGTTGCATGACCACTCAATTGTCGGTTAAAGTAATGAAGCGCCATATCGCAAAAAATGGCCTGGTCAGGAAGGGAGGGAAATCCTCTGGAGGGCAAGTGGTTAAGCAATTTTCTTTTCCCTTCAACCATGGGTTGAAGGAAAGTAAAAAAAGCTTAATGCATGGCCAGCTTTATCAAAGGTTAAAGGAAGTTTTTGTTTACTTTGAGTCTCGTTCATCACATTATAACCAGATGTGGTGCTTGTTTAGACACTCATATCAGAGTCTTTAGTTGTACTTTAACATAGAATACATAGTGTATTTTGGATTATGTTGCAGTATTTGCCTTGATGTGTTCACTAGCTGAACTTAAAGCAGAGCTCCACCCAAAATTGAAGTTCCGTTTTAATGCAAAGTCCCCTGCTCCCTATTTAGGACTGGTACCTTTGGGGAGCGGGTACCCGAATTTGACAGGTACCCGTTCCCACTTTCGCTGTGATTGTCTAAGGCGATCGGAAACGGAATTTGTCCTCCCAACACGTCCCAGAAGACTATGGAACCATTCACAAAGCGTAGCGCTACTAATGCATGCACAGTGGGCACCTGGCCAGTGAAGCCGTAAGCACTGAAGATGCCGGGTAGGGAAGACGGTTGATGAAACCAGTGTGATGAGGACAGCGCTGGACCGAGGGACAGGTAAGTGGCTGTATTTTAAAAGTCAGCAGCTACAGTTTTTGTAACTGCTGATTTTTATTTTTTTTTAAATCGGCTGGAACTCTGCTTTAATTTGATGCGTTTTCTTAGAAATTCTGATTATAATTGGTTACACAAAATGAAAGACGACATCAAAAGTAATGTGTAACAAGTATAATTCATCAGAACGTTAATTGTTTCAAGAAATCTTTTTTTTTTTTTTTTTTTTTTTTTTTTGCTTTTCAGGGATGTGAAGCCTGACAACATGCTGCTGGACAAGTCTGGACATTTAAAACTTGCAGATTTTGGTACATGTATGAAGATGAATAAGGTACGCTGTGGTAATGGCTTTTTATATGATATGGTAAAGATTAAAGCAGCATTAAACCCAAAAGCAAACATTTTTTATATTACAGCTTACTAATTCTTAACTCTGGTGACTGCATTATTTTTTATTTTTTTGGCCTTTTATTTTCACCTGGTGATCCTGCAAGTCAGTCTTTTGTTTAACAGTACAAGCTCTCCTGCACATGTAGCAGTGATGAGACAAACTATTTAGCACTGACAAAGGTTTTTGCAATGATCAGCTTTTATTTCCTGTATGTTAACCCTTATCCCAAAAGAAACCAAACTGCTGTACATGCATAAAAAGTGTTAGTTGCAGTTTGGCTTCAACTTGTTAGTGTGTCTAAATATGCTAATGCATTTAGCACCCACCCACCCAAATGACAATGCTGCTGTTCAAAAGTACCTCTGTTGCTCCTTCATCCACGGTGTAGGCACTCTAATACAGAAGTGTGTTCTTGCCCAGATCACCAGGTAAAAACAGAGGGAAAAAGCCTATAAAAGAAAATGAATGCAACCAACACATCTAATCATTGGTAAGCTGCAACATGTTACATAATTGTTGTATGGGTTTAATGCTTCAATTACGGTTATTTTCATGTAGGAGAGAAGTGCCAGAATAGGCCTGGTCCTCAAGTGGTTAAAAGTTTTATATGTGCTTTGGCAGTATTTAGTTAACTGTATAACAGCTGTTTATTTTAATAAAATAACTACTTTTGATATAAACGGAAACATGATAGAATTAGTTGGGAAATTTACTTGTACATTGATCACAAGACCAAATATTTCAGAAACCTTTAAAAGAATGCATTTTTTTAAGGTGGAAAATGGTCAGCACAAAGTGTAACTTTTGTACATTTTTGTAAAAGCTGATATTTATAAAAGTTTAATTTACATTCAGCCTGTTGAGTTGAGGTTATAGTATAAAAACAATGACATAGGATCCAAGCTGAAGGTGCCCATGCAGTAATACCCTGTTGTTGTTTTTTTTTTTTTTTTTTTTTTGTTTTTCCTCCAATACTGATTTCATTACAAAATCTTTCTGTAGTTGTGATGAGATAATGGTGAGATAATGATAAGTCCTTATATATGCAGTATTTGCAGCAGCTCATAGGGGTTGAACAGGTGTTTATTCTGTGCTTTTCGATCCATGCTTAAGTTGAACAGCATTCGCATCTGCAGTGCTCTGACTTGGCCCATTACTTTCAGAACCTTTAATAGTGGCACACCTAGCATATCTAACAGCAAGGGTGAATTTTTTTTTTTAATTTATTTATTAAAGTATAACTAACTTTTTTTTACCTTTTGCATGGAATACAGAAGGATTAGGACACCTGTCAGTTTTTGCTTTCTGTGCCCCGTTAAGGAGATTCCACCTATTTGTTCTGTTTACCATTATCATAGAAATTGAAAGTAAAAGAAAATCCCAAATTTTGGGTTGTCCCCAGAAAAGTAATAAAGGGGAAATCTTCCAATGAAGACACTACTTCTGGTGACCTGGGGGTCCCCAAGGAATTCCCTTAATTTACAGGTATCTCCTCTCACTTCCTGTTTGGCTTTAGGACAGGAAGTGAAGGGAAATCTCCACAATGGGATACAGATGTTGAAAAAAAATCTGAAGGGTTATAACCCTTACTTGCTCTATCCAAAATGGAAAAAATAAATAAATACATTTGCCCCTAGTTCTACCAGCAGAGCTGGTAATTAAGTGTTCTTGCATGGCAAGACCACTTACTGTTATCTCACATATATATTCTTATTATCATAGGCAAATTTACCACCCTAACTCCTCCCACAGTTTTTACAACACATAGACAGTAATATACCCAAACGTGCGGATTGTTCCCGATTGGTGTGCTATTACTTTGTGGAACGTTTCGCCGAATGGTTCACAAAATATCGGCGTTTTTGTGGTGAAATTGGTCCCATAGGAATGAATGGCGGAATGTTCAAAACTAGAGTGGGAGCTGACAAAAGCTAGAGTGTGAGCTGAAAAATCAGGACATGATTTTTAAACCTTTTCACAGTTACTCCAGCCACTCCAACCACACAACAGTTACTCAAGCCACTCTACCCAGTTACTCCGCCCACTCCAGTTGTAGACTACTGGTGGAGGCAAGAACACTGCACACAATTTCCCCAGAAATTGTAGCTTTTGTAGTTGAGTATATTATCCTGAAATAATTGGTATGTTTTACTGTTTGGTTTATTTTGGGTTCTGTTAGATGTAATAATCGAGCATTACTTGTCATTCTGCGACACAGGAAGGAATGGTACGATGTGACACAGCTGTAGGAACTCCTGATTATATTTCACCGGAAGTGTTAAAGTCCCAAGGAGGGGATGGTTACTATGGACGAGAATGTGACTGGTGGTCTGTAGGAGTCTTCTTGTATGAAATGCTTGTAGGTAAGTGGTTTGCCTGCTTGTACTTATATTAAGCACCAATTTTTAGCATGTTTCCTAGGGGAGATATAGAGGCTACTGTTGCTGACCTTTTCTGAAAATGTTAGTTTAATGGCTTCAATAGTTTTAGTCACTGTCCTGAACAAGCTTCAGTTTAGGAAAGTCAGAGTGAAATCATAACTTCTGGTCTGCTTGCTCCTTTACAATCTGAATTAAGATTGCACTTCACTGATTCAAGTTCAGCTGGTCCAGCATAAACCAGCCAGATTTTTTAAATGTGTGGGCTCCTCTGCTCTACAATTGTTGGTTGTTTAATCAACTTCTGTTGAAGGGACATGTTGGAAAAGTTCCTTTTTAATTAGAGTCTGCAACCATTGATGACTGTTTTCTGACAGCAGTAGGTGCCGAATACAATGTCATGTGGAGTTTGGTGGGATTACTCAATCTACCTCACTGGCTGAAAGAAAAATATGGTACATATGCATGGTCACCTGTAGAGACTTCTGACTCCTTTTGAATAAGGATGAGTACTTGAAAACTATTTTATCCGTTAGTATATAGACTTGTTTTTTCCCCAAATATGTTTATTCAGTTTTAACAAGATAACAAAACATCAGGCTTCTATTATGACTGTTTGTTTCATTACAATAACAGTGATAAGTACATATCCATGTATATCATCTGGAAACCCCAGAGCACTAGTCGTACCAGAAGGAGACAGACCTAATCCATTACATAGGAAACTATGAGCTGTAAGGCATGCACCAAAAGATACTGAGAGTATACCCCATTCTAAGTTAGAGGCTTGGACTCCTATCTGTATCACCGAAAACGAGGGGTGGTATCCTCACACCTCCACGACCAAGGTAGATCATTGAAGCCTGCTGTAAGAGGAGGGAGGAGTAACTCCCTACAACAGTATAAGTGTGAACGAAAAAAAAAGTAATGCAAAAACAAACTAAGCACTGGCAGCACTAAGAAAAATACAGAGGAAATCAACAGTCAGTGAATTTTCAATTTTCCAAGGGAGTTGGAAAGGTCTGCTTTAAGATACCACTCAGTAAATCAGAAAGATGACATCGAGGTTGCTAGTTCCAGTGGTGAAACTGTGCACTTGATGAAAACTCTCCAGTGCCTAAAGAATTTCTTAGTGGTTGAATAATTTTGGATCTCTATGTCTAACTTCTCCTAATATAACAAATCAATGAGGTCCCTTTTAATCATGCTGATTGTGGGGGCTGAGGAGGTTATCCAAACTATATTTTAGTTTTTTTTTTACTCTTTCTGAAGGTTATGCATCTTTTTTTTCTTCACAGAGAAAATGAACCTTAGCTTAACTAGTTAATTATTTTTTTCTTTAATATTTTATCTGATTCTTTTATCAACACCTCACTGTCTTCTGATGCCAACATAGAGGCAGTATATCCGGATAAACACAACCTCAGTAAAACCCTAGGAACCATACCTGGACCCTACACTGTGGGGATGGCCTTTACTGTTGCTTCAGGCAATGGATCCTGCATGGATTCACCTCAGAGTGTGACATTTTCAAAACTTGGCTGTAAAACTCAACCACTCAGATCTTAGTCTCAGGTGCATGTCCACATGTTACATCACACCATTGGGTGAAACTTTGCCACCACTTCTGCCTAGAGTCCTTATGAGTTTACTAGGTGTTTCTTCTCACCCTTTCTCCACAGGAATCCGCTACAGGATGGTCTACACCTGGTTACCATGTACTTCTTATGGACACCTTTACTCTTTTCCCCGCACCCTATTCCATGAGTACCCCACAAGTTAATACGTTCACATGGCTATAATTGAAACCAGTCAAAATGGAGTTGATGCAAAATCGCAGGCAAAAATTTTTCTCTTCTGATGGACCATGCAACACGATATGTCCATGTCACTGGAACAAAAGCTGACTCTAACTTTGGTCCTAGCATCTGTTTGCAGCTCTATTTCAGGCACTCAAAAAGCAGCCTATTTGACTAAATCAGAATTCTCTGCATCTAGTTCACATTTTCTCATACAGATTATAGTCTTAATATAGCCGTCTCTATCTAGGGCTCAAAAACCCCACACATCATCTCCTACTTCTTTTTATCCATCTGAGTCAGATACCTATATGCCAGTACTAGAAGGCACAGACACAGAAGGAAAAAAAAAAATATTTTAAGAAAATATTAAAGAGCTGCGGAAGTTTTTTCTTCTTCACTCTGCCACTGTATTGAAGAAGGAACTTCATGCAATAATGCTTGTTAATGTTTTAAAGCTCATTGCCTCGGTTTGTTAGTCTTGGCATTGTGCAGCCTGACCCTCTTTTGTCCTGTCATGCCCCTTTGGCTACAAAGAGACCTGCAAAATGAATATTCCATGTTCATGAATAAACAGAATGTGCAGTCTGAGGATTGGGCCATTCCTGAAAGGATTTTCTTTCCCTCCAAATCTGTGCTGCAAAGAGTTTACAGAAGTTGTTCACTATTCCGGTGGTTGATCCCTCCATCTCTGTCCTATACAAACCTCTCACTGTACCTATTAAAGGTGCTCCTCCTGTTTAGGATTCTGCAGATAAATAAATTTGCTAAATGCATTGAAAACCCCTTCTATGAAGATATACTGCCCAGTTTCCTGGGAATCCTTTTTTTGCCTAGTTTGAACACAGTCACAAATGACTTCTTGCCTAACCATTCTGGCCTTCCTGCCAACAGTACTGACCAGAACCTGGCCTCATGTCTCAACCTTATCCATTCTTTTTCAATGGCCTCTGGCTTCACTCTTTGTAGGAACTGTTCTTCAAGGTGTAACTTTTATTAATCGACACAACCATTTTCCCTTCCCCCTTGCAGCACCCTGTGCTTCCTTGGGATCATAACTTGGTTCTCTCTAACCTGCAGAACCCATCAGGGATATTCCTATAGAGGATCTGTCCTGTAAAGTAATCCAGAAAAAAACACATGATACAAATGTACTAATTTGAGTTGCAGTTCAGTTAGTAAAATAAGTATTTGATCCCAAGCAAAACATGACTTAGTACCTGGTGGAGAAACCCTTGTTGGCAAGCACAGGGGTAAGATGCTTCTTGTAGTTGGTTACCAGGTTTGCACACATCTCAGGAGGGATTTTGGTCCACTCTTTTTTTTTTTTTTTTTTTTTTTTTTTTTTTACAGATCTTCTCTAAATCCTTAAGGTTTCTTGGCTGTCGCTTTGGCAACTCGAAGTTTCAGCTCCCTCCAGAAGACTTCTATAGAATTAAGGTCTGACTCCATGACCTTAATGTGCTTCTCCTTGAGCCACTCCTTTGTTTCCTTGACGGTATGTTTTGGGTCATTGTCATGCTTTAGGACCCATCCACAACCCATCTTCAGTGTTCTGACTGAGGGAAGAAGGGTCTCCTCCAAGATCTTACAATACATGGTGCCGTCCATTGGCCCCTCAATGCAGCAATGTTGGGCTGTACCTTTAGCAGGCAAACAGCCCCAAAGCTTAATGTTTCCACCTATATGCTTGACTGTAGGGATGGTGTTCTTAGGTCATTGTCAGCATTTTTCTTCCTCCAAACACAGGGAGTCGAGTTGCCAAAGAGCTCAATTTTGGTCTCATCTGGCCACAGCAGTTTCTCCCAATCCTTCTCTAAATCATTTAGATGTTGATTGGCAGACTTCAGACGTGCCTGTACGTGTGCCTTCTTGAGGAGGGATGACCTTGCAGGCGCTGCAGGGTTTCAATCCATGGTGGAGTATTATGTTACCAATGGTTTGTTTGGTGACTGATCCAACTGCCTTGAGATCATTCACAAGCTCCTCCCGTGTAGTTCTGGGCTGATCCCTCACTTTTCTCATAATCATCTTTACCCCATGAGGCAAAATCTTACAAGGAGCTCCAGACTAAGAGCGATTGATGGTTATTTTGTATTTCGTCCATTTGCATATAATCACTCCCCAACAGTTGTCTCCTCACCAAGCTTCTTACTGATGGTCTTGTAGTCTATTCCAGCCTTGTGCAGGTCTACAATCTTTGGTCTTGCCCATGGTGGTGAGGATTGAATGGAAATAAGAAACTCTGTGTACAGGTGTCTTTTATACATGTAACGAGTTGTCGTTGGGAGCATCTTCCAAAATTGACAGGACTAATCTATGTACCATATGGCCAGTCTGTGAAAGACAGAATTTTTGCTGGTTGGTAGGGGATCAAATACTACTTATACTCACTGAACTGGAACCCAGTTTATTACATTTGTATCATGTGGTTTTTTCTGGATTTTTGGTTGATATTCTGTGTCTATCATTTAAAATACACCTATGATAAAAATTATAGACCCATCATTTCTTTGTAAGTGGGCAGACTTGCAAAATCTGCAGGGGATCAAATAATTATTTTCCCCACTGTACTTTACAATGACATGGTTGTCTTATGACAAAGGCCATCATTTCTTCCAAAGGTGGTTTTAGTATTCCACCTCAATGAGGACACCATCCTACTATTCCTATACCCTACTCCTCTAAAGCTTTGCAAGTGTTCACTTACCTGAAGGCACACAACACTTTGCCTGTGTCCTGTACTGTACTACCGAAATACAGAATTAACAGGCAAGTCAACATTTTTTTTTGCATCAAGTTGTCAGCAATTGCAGCCTCCACCCTGTTTCATTACAGTTCCTAATAAAATAATGAAACTTTTCCTGAGGGGAAAATGGGAGCGATCAATACTGACTTTTCAGTCTTTTAAATTCTAGTTGCCTGTTTTCATGCTGACGCTCTGGTACCAGCAGTTTGGGTTACAGACCTGGAACAAGCATGCAGATTATGACTTCTCTTTCCCTATATGCATACTTGTTCCAGATCATTGATTCAGAAGAGAATGGAAGCCAGAGGATCAGAAAAGTAGCCAGGCTCAACTAGCCTTTTCAAGAGATACATAATAACAGCCCCCCTGTTTTTCTCAGAAGATTTTCACTTTATTTATGTGTTGTTTTTCAGCAGTTTGAGTGTTTGCACGTTAATCACTAGAGAAAACGAGACAGTGAGGCACAGGTATATACTCTGATGAAAACAATAATACCTATGGGTAATGGGTTTTCCTTTACCCACACTCTATTCCCCCAGTGTGACCTGTGGGTGTTTACCTCTTTTCATGGCTATGCACTGCTAAAGCTTTCGTGGCTAATTATTTTCATACCTAACTGATGAGATTTTCTCAAAATTTTTATAGGTGATACGCCATTTTATGCAGATTCTCTGGTTGGAACTTACAGTAAGATTATGAACCATAAGAATTCTCTTACATTTCCAGAAGACAGTGAAATCTCAAAAGAGGCAAAGAACTTGATATGTGCATTCCTTACTGACAGGTAATAAAGTGTGTTCTGTTTTTGGTTAGTCCCACTATTGTAACTTGATGTATCATTAATTTTTACTAATATAAATGGTTTGGCTTTCGCAACCAGACCTATGTAGATATTTTCTGGAAAACTTAGTTCTGTGTACAAAAGACTTGCGCACATTAGGCCACAAATATACGCTATATTGTCGAAAGTATTGGGATGCCTGCCTTTACACGTACTTTAAGTTTATTGACATCCCTTTCTTAGTCCTTAGGGTTCAATATTGAGTTGACTTACCCTTTGCAGCTATAACAGCTTCAACTCTTCTGGGAAGGCTGTCCACAAGGTTTAGGAGTGTGTCTATGGGATTGTTTGACCATTCTTCCAGAAGCTCATTTGTGAGGTCAGGCACTGATGTCGAACAAGAAGGCCTGGCTCTCGCAGTCTCTGCTCTAAATTATTCCAAAGGTGTTCTATCGGGTTGATGTCAGGCCATTCGAGTTCTTCCACCCCAAACTCGCTCATCCATGTTTTTATGGACCTTACTTTGGGTACTGGTGTGCAGTCTTGTTGGAACAGGAAGGGACCATCCCCAAACTCTTTCCACAAAGTTGCGAGTTTAAAATTGTTCAAATTTCTTGGTATGCTGATGTCTCTTAAGAGTTCCCTTCACTGGAACTAAGGGGCCAAGCGCAACCCCTGAGAAACAACCCCACATCATATTCCCCCCTCCACCAAATACACTTAGCACAGTGAAGTCAGGCAAGTACCATTCTCCTTGCAACTACCCAAACCCAGACTTGTCCATCAGATTGGCAGACAGAGAAGTGTGATTCGTCACTCCAGAGAACACGTCTCCACTGCTCTGGAGTCCAGTCACGTCTCCACTGCATCCAACACTTTGCATTGCACTTGGTGATGTAAGGCTTGGATGCAGCTGCTGTGCCATGCAAACCCATTCCATGAAGCTCTCTATGCACTGTTGTTATGCTAATCTGAAGGCCACACGAAGTTTGGAGGTCTTAAGCTATTGACTCTGCAGACAGTTGGCGACTTCTGCGCACTGTGCACTTCAGCATGCGCTGAGCCTGCTCTGTCATTTTACGTGGCTTACTACTTCGTGGCTGGGTTGCTGTTATTTCCAGTTGCTTCCACTTTATATAATACCACTAATAGTTGACCATGGAATATTTAGTAGCAAGGAAATTACACTGATGGACTTATCATGGTACCACGCTTGAATTCACTGAGCTCCTGAGAGTGACCCATTCTTTCACAAATGTTTGTAGAAGCAGTCTGCATGCCTAGGTGCTTGATTTTATACACCTGTGGCCATGGAGGTGATTGGAACACCTGAATCCAAAGATTTGGAGGAGTGTCCCAATACTTTTGGCAATATAGTGTATTTGTCTTAGATGGTTTAATATCCCCTGGATTATTGTGCCAATAAAAGAAGTGTGTTTTAAGTGTTTCAAACATTCCTTTTCCAAAAAAAAAAAAATTAAGAAATAGAATAAGTTATTTGGTTGTCTGAAAACAAAGAAACTAACAATAGACCATAAGCAAATATAGTGACATATGCTAATGATCAATGGCATAATGTGTAGGGTAATCTAGAGTGATTAAATGAACAGATATAGCCATATAGAGAGAATAAAACCAGTCAGGGAACTAAAGAGGTGAAGCTGCTGAAGATGTGACAAATCATGCACCATAGCAGAATTGAGCTTGGTGACAGGATGCAAGTTGGAAATCCTGCATCAAGGACTCTTCCAAGCATCAACACCATAGCAGATATGTTTCCATATGGACTGTCCTATTTCTTCTGCAGAAGCACGGGGTGCAAGGTTAAAGTTGGCTGATCTTGGCAGTGATTGGCCACAAAAGTGCAGCAGATGGGGAAAAAAAAAAAAAAATCAAGCTTGCTTCTCTACAATTCTGAAAAATGTCCTGCACTGCTATAACCTCTGAGCTGGCAGAAAGCATTGGGTTACTGATACACCCATCTACAGTCCAGAAAAATCTGATCAAAAGTGATTTTCATGGAAAAGTTGGGAAAACAATATCCCTCCAAGATGGGAATAAAGCCAATGCTAGATATTAGAGCACAGGGCTAGGCATAACGAAATTGTGGCAAGTACTGTGAACTAATTAGTTAAAATCTAAAACGTTGGTTCTGGTAGCTTGCAGACTGTATAAAAACTGGAATAAGGATGAATGTAGCTAACAGTGAAGAACACTGTAAGTTCCCTGACTGCAACAGGGTTGGTGCTTTGATTAAATTGATGGCCACCTTACTTCTGAGGAATGCAGGCAGATTCATATGCATAATGCAATAATATCAGGATAGATGTGGCAAATATTGTACCACGGTGGAAATTTAGCATAATAAGACACCAGGTGCGCCAATGACATCAGGCCGTAAACTGGAAGTGCACGTGCCACCATTTTGGATAAGGGATTTCTGCACACTTCTTACAGCAAACACTGTATAGTGAGTTTTTAACCCTGTAGTGTCCCAGGAGGACACATTTTAATGTGAGTTTTACTAGATTGATTTAAATAAAGGCAATTTTGAGTGGCAATATTACACTATATGGAGCATTTTTTTCACATGGATGTGGAGATGTTTAAAAGTGCTGGCTAACGGTGGTGAAGATCTGTGTACCAGTATACCCTCCCGGGTTAAAGGGGAAAGTGTAGTTTGACCTGTCATTACGGGTCAAACCTGGAGGTGAGCGCAATAGTGTTGGGGATGAGCACTAAGCGGTGAAACAGGTGCACCGTACATGTGTATGCAGTAGTGTTACACTGGTCTATTTGAAGTACAGTGGATTTAAAGGGATGGTTCACCATTTTTAGAGACTATATTCCAATGACACTTATAATTGGTGTATGTTGATCACGATTTATGGGATATATACCACACAAGTCCACGTGCTAATATTCAAGTTTTAAAGGGACAGTTCACTATTAAGGACAATTATTCGTTATTTGTGTGCACAGTTTATTCAGAGCACTTGTTATGTGCAATTTTTGGAGTCCTATATGTATATATTGATTAGACGTCTGGTATAGCACACATTTATTTTCACAAGCATAGTCGTTTGTTTTTGCACGTATTTATTGTTTAGCACTATATTTTTATATATATATATTGTTGTGCTGCATTTTTCTATTTTTTTTATGCTATACATGTGGGAACACGTATGCTAGCCGCACAAGTTTTTTAGGAGGTCCATAGCGCTGAGGGTTTTCTATACACATTGGTTTCAGAAAGTATTGATTTAATATTTTTTATTGGTTATAAAAAAAAAAATGCTTGTTTTGTTATCCCCAACCATTTCTGTTTTAACGTTTAAGTTCAGCAGCACCCAAGACTTAGTTTTATGCTTGGACTCTGCTGTGAGCAAGAGCAGGCGGACTCTGCTGTGCCACCTAATGAGCTTCTTGTATAGATGGTAGAAACAGTCTCACCACTACATGCCGGAGTGATGTCTGAAAGTGCAGAGGAACTCATCCTACCATAGCTGGATAATCTATTTACACCTTGTAATGAAGGTAAAGGTTGCAGGGGTTAGTGGAAAATATTTGTTGTCACATTGGTAAGGTCCATGCAGGTATCTTCAGGGTCTTGCTTTGAGGCAAAATGAAACTTTATTTTATTATTTTAATAATAATTTAATTATAAATGATAGTAGCTGCCATAATGGTAAGTGGGCAATGACCTTCCAAAAGCTTTTAGTGGCAGCTTGTGTATCTGATGCCACAACTAATTCAGTTCTGTTAGGAGGGCTAGGTCTGTCGTGTTATAGGGTGTTCTTAGCAAGCCTAGGATTGTAATGTATACTGTTAGCCAACACCACTGGTCTATTTTTTCTGTTTCGTCGCTATTACAGTTATAAGAGGCTGGTCGTCTGTATCCCTGTTTGGAAGCAGATGACTACTTTCTCAGAATAGTTAAAATAACAGTGCTTTTTTTTAAGTTGTCTTGGAAGATAACACATTCCCTTAGCTGTCCTGTTAGCTTTAGGAGACTTTAGCTGTTGTGTGCCTTCTTTTATTGGTACTTCATTACCTTGTCCTTTTCTCTTAAAGGACAAGTGCACTTTTTCTGTACCTGTCATTTTCTTCCCCATACTTGCTCAGTCTATTCATAATTGGGTACACCTAACCCTATTTCTGCAAATTCGCCATTGTGTAACCTGTCTGGTGCTGCACAGTCTTACTCCAAAACCGACTGAGCAGTTCAAGCACTTGTATTGGAGATCCCATCTGTCATGCTGCACACAGTTTTTCTGGTAAAGTGAAAGGTGAATGTTCTGTGTGTGCACATGTACTGCTCTGAAGATTTTGGACAGAGGCTTTATGCTCTCAACACACTGCTAAGAGAATTTCCTAGAGGATTGGCTTGTGGATAGAAAGCCGTGTTAGAAAATGGAAGGACGGAGGGACGGAAAGGATGTGTACTAATCATAAATTGGCTTTTAAAGCCCCGTTTGCATTCATTTAAAACCTGCTAAAATACATATCGGGTACATTTAAAACAAAAGGTGTTCAAACGCTTCAAGGAAAGCAGCCTCAGGTTGAGTAGAGAAACCCTGCTGCAGAACGCTTTTATTGGCAGGGTGCTTACACTTGATTGCAGAGCTATGGGTCTGCCTCAACAGGTTGTGTTAGACCTCTGCAGAGAAACCACTGCTTCCATACAGAGAGCACTATACCACGCAGTTGCTGCTGCTGGCGGACAATAGACATTTCTACCTTTTTTGGCTGCTTTCTAAAGAAAATGAACTGAATGATTTTTAACACGTTTGTTTGGATACACCGAGAATGTATATAGATGATTCAAACTGAAAGTTGAGTTAAACCTTAAAGTGTTTCTAAACCCACAACAGTAAAATCAGTCTGTATATGCAGTAAAGCATGCTTGTTATAATCACTGTAGAACCTAAGGGGTTACTCCTCTGCATTGTGTAAAAAGACCCTTTTAATGCTTTCTTCTCTGTTCCTCCCCTTTTTCAAAC